GAGAAAATTATTTTTAGTCACTAGACTTTAGGGTATTTTCAAAGATTAGTCCCTAAGCTTCAACTATAAATACCCTAGCTCATTTAGCTTCAAAATCATCTCAAATCATTTCTTTCAATTTTCGAAGTTTTTTTTATTCTTTTTAGAGATTTCTTGTGAGTAGTGAGTGTTTTGTAAACACTTGTAAATTTTCTCTCTTAGTAAAAGATCTGCAGCAGTTCGGAGACGTAGGCATAATTGGTTGAACTCCATTATCAATTTCGGGTATTATTTTTCCGCTTTTATTTCGCATTCTCACTAATCTGGTTATAGGGAAATTACTCGTACTCGGTTTATTTCCCAACAACTGGTATCAAAGCTTTTAGTTGTGAATTTTATCAATTTTTTTGCGAGGTTACTATTCATTATTATTCACGTGAATAGTAAATTTCGTGAATAGAAAAAATTTTGTCGGCGATACGAATTTGTCGACGGGGGTGTTCTAATACACGGTGGTTCTCAAGAATTGTCAGAAACGATCCAAACGAAGCCAGATTCGAGTGGAAGCGATGGCTACAGACGAAGGGAATGTGAAAATTAAAAAGTTCGATGGTGCGGACTTTGGCTTTTGGAAGATGCAGATTGAAGATTTTCTGTACCAGAAAAATCTATATCAACCTCTGTCAGGAAAGCAACCAGAGGGCATGAAGAATGAATATTGGGCTCTTCTCGACAGACAAGCCCTCGGAGTTATCCGACTGACGTTATCTCGCAATGTTGCTTTCAACATAGCAAAGGAAAAGACCACGGCTGGTCTTATGGCGGCTCTCTCCAGTATGTATGAGAAGCCATCGGCCTCAAACAAGGTTCATTTGATAAGGCGATTATTCAATTTGCGGATGTCGGAAGGAGGATCGGTGGCTCAACACCTAAATGAACTCAACACAATCACAACCCAATTGAGTTCCGTGGAAATTGAATTTGATGATGAAGTTCGAGCTTTAATTATCTTATCATCTCTACCAGACAGTTGGAATGCTACTGTTACAGCAGTCAGCAGCTCATCGGGAAATAGCAAATTAAAATTCGACGATGTTCGAGATCTGGTATTGAGTGAAGAAATTCGACGTAGAGAAGCGGGTGAAGCATCAACCTCCTCAGCCTTGTACACGGAGTCTAGAGGGATAACTTAAAAAAAATCAAATCGTGGCAGATCAAAATCCAGAAGGGGCAAATAGAGAACAAGAAAGAAAGATTTTACCTGTTATAATTGTGGCAAGAAGGGTCACTTTAAATGAGATTGTCGAGCACTGAAGAAAGATATCGGCGCACAGGAATCTGCCAACATGACAGAGGAGACATGTGATGTCATGATTCTAAGCGTCAACAGTCCGATTGAATCATGGATCTTGGATTAAGGGGCATCTTTCCACTCCACCCCTTACCAAGAAATCATAGAGAATTATATCAGTGGTGATTTTGGGAGGGTTAATCTAGCTGATGATGAAACCTTGAAGATCGTCGGAAAAGAAGACATATGATTAAAGTTTCCAAACCAGACCACCTGGACACTGAAAGGAGTGAGACATATTCCTAGCCTCAAAAGAAATTTGATTTCTGTAGGACAACTTGATGGAGAAGGATATAACATAACCTTTTCAGGTTGTGAATGGAAGATTACCAAAGGAGCACTCATCATTGCTCGTGGTAAGAAGACTGGTACTCTCTATGTAACCTCAAATTTAGAGAATATCATTGCATTAGTATATGCTGATGGAAAATCAAACCTATGGCACCAAAGGCTTGGTCATATGAGCGAGAAATGGATGAAGACACTTTTGTCAAAAGGGAAGTTGCCGGATCTAAAGAATGTAGATGTCAGACTATGCGAGGATTGCATCTTTGGCAAACAAAAGAAAGTCAGTTTTGCAAAGATTGGCAAGACACCCAAGGCAGAAAAGTTAGAGTTGGTTCATACTGATGTATAGGGACCATCTCCAGTTCCATCCCTTGCAGGCTCACTATATTATGTCACGTTCATCGATGATTCAACAAGGAAGGTGTGGGTTTATTTTCTGAAGAAGAAATCAGAAGTATTTAATACCTTCAGAAAATGGAAGGTCATGGTGGAAAATGAGATCGGTTTGAAAGTCAAGCGGTTGAGGTCTAACAATGGAGGAGAGTACAGAAACAGTAGATTCAGAGATTTTTGCGCAAACAATGGATCAAGATGAGACAACAGTTCCCATGACACCGCAACAGAATGGCATAGCAGAGCGCATGAACAGAACTCTGAATAAACGTGCCAAAAGCATGAGGATACATGCCAGATTGCCCAAATTTCTATGGGTTGAGCTATCAACACTGCAACTTACCTGATAAACCGTGGGTCCTCAGTTCCTTTGGATGGTGGAATACCAGAGGAATTTTGGAGCAAGAAAGAAATAAATCTTTCACACTTAAGAGTGTTTGGTTGTATTTCTTATGTACACATAAATTCTGCTGAAAGAAGTAAACTTGACGCCAAGTCCAACAAATGTGTCTTTGTTGGTTATGCTGGTGATGAGTTCGGTTATCGGTTTTGGGACTATGAAAATCGAAAGATCATCAGAAGCAGAGATGTCATTTTCAATGAGAATGTGATGCACAAAGACAGGTCAACCATATAATCAAGTAGCTCCAACACTGGAGCAGAAACAAAGAAATTTGTTAAGTTTGAGGAGATTTCTGGAAATGATGTTCAGATCAGTCCTGAAGCAGTTCAAGAAGAACCAGGCACACCAGAACTGAGACGCTCCTCTAGAATTCCTAAACCAATCCAGCGTTATTCGCCTTCTTTGCACTACTTGTTGCTGACTGACAATGGTGAACCAGAGTGTTATGATGAAGCAATGCAGGTGGAGGATTCAGTCAAGTGAGAGTCTTCCATGAAAGATGATATGAACTCGCTTATGTCAAATCAGACGTGGGAATTGGCTGAATTACCAACAGGCAAAAAAGCGCTCCATAACAAGTGGATTTATAGGATCAAAGAAAAGCACAATGGGAGCAAACGTTACAAAGCAAGATTGATTGTCAAAGGCTTTCGGCAAAAAGAAGGTATTGACTACAATGAAATTTTCTCTCCAGTCGTGAAACTGTCTACAATCAGACTAGTGTTGAAAATTATAGCTGCAGAGGATTTACATCTTGAGCAGTTAGATGTAAAGACAACTTTCCTTCATGGTGATTTGGAGGAAGAAAACTATATGAGGCAGCCAGAAGGCTTCATAGAGGTAGGCAAGAAAAACCTGGTATGCATGTTGAAGAAGAGATTGTATGGTTTAAAACAAGCTCCTAGGCAGTGGTACAAGAAGTTCGATAGTTTCATGAGTAGCAGTGGTTTTACCAGATGCCAAGCAGATCATTGTTGCTACATCAAGAGGTTCGACAACAACTTCATTATTTTATTGTTGTACATTGATGACATGCTCATTACAGGTTTAGACATGCAAGAGATTATAAACTTAAAGTAAAAATTGTCGAAGCATTTTGCAATGAAAGATATGGGCCATGCAAAGCAGATCCTTGGGATGAGGATTAAGAGAGACACAAAGTCGGAGACTTTGATGTTATCACAGGCTGAGTACATCAATAAAGTACTCTCCATGTTCAACATGCAAGATGATAAACCAGTAAGTACACCTTTAGGTGTTCATTTTAGACTCTCCAAAGAACAGTCACCAAAGATGGAGGAAGAAAGTACACGCATGGTGAATGTGTCGTATGCCTCATCAATTGGAAGTCTAATGTATGTCATGGTTTGTACCAGACCAGATATTGCTCAAGCAGTGGGAGCTGTTAACAGATACATGAATAATTCGGGCAAGGTATACTACACTGGGAAGCAGTCAAATGAATCCTCATATATCTGCGGGGTACCACAAACAAAGCACTTTGTTTCAAAGGTGAAGATACGATACTGACAAGCTATGTAGATGCTGACTTAGCCGGAAATGTTGACATCAGAAGGAGCGCTACAGGGTATGCATATACTCTAGGAGGAACCGCAGTGAGTTGGGTTTCTCAACTACAGAAGATAGTTGCTCTCTCCACAACCGAAGCAGAATATGTCGCTGTTACGAAAGCCAACAAGGAGATGGTTTGCTACAAGGTTTCTTGGAAGAGTTAGGCAAGAAACAAGAAAACAATGTCTTGTATTACGACAGTCAAAGTGGTATCCATCTAGCGAAGAATCCGTTTTTTCATTCCAGGACGAAACACATACAATTGCGATATGATATTATCCGGTCTCTTCTGGAAGAAGGGATTTTGAAACTTGAAAAAATTAGTGGAGCTCAAAATCTGGAAGACATGTTGACAAAGACGGTGACCACGGACAAACTGAAGTTGTGTTTAGCTTCAGTTGGCATGCTAGAATAAAAGACCAGAAATACTGCTGCATTGATCGAGGTGTGAAGAAAGATTGAAATCAGTTTTCAAGTGAGAGATTATTGGTCAAAGAAAAGGGCAGCAGCCAGCGGCTTAGAATTAAAAAAAGGGGCTGCTAAAACATGGGCTGCTAAATGGCATGGGAAAATTATTTTTAGTCACTAGACTTTAGGGTATTTTCAAAGATTAGTCTCCAAGCTTCAACTATAAATACCTTAGCTCATTTAGCTTCAAAATCATCCCAAATCATTTCTTTCTCCCAATACTAGAGAGCTTGAGAGCTTTCTTGTGAGTAGTGAGAGTTTTGTAAACACTTGTAAATTTTATCTCTTAGTAAAAGATCTGCAACAGTCCGGAGACGTAGGCATAATTGGCTGAACTCCGTTATCAATTTCGGGTATTATTTTTCCGCTTTTATTTCGCATTCTCACTAATCTGGTTATAGGGAAATTAGTCGTACTCGGTTTATTTCCCAACACTCTCAATTATTTTATGCACCACACACATGTGATCGAACTGGATGCAAAAAAAAAAACCAAACAAGTTACGCAATTAGTGAGTGTAATACTAGAATCAATGGAAGCAAGAAGTAATTAACTAGATAGTTTTATTCAATAAGCTGAAAAGAGTACAAAGCAGGGCCCTGAGAGTCAAACCCTGTAAGCATGAACATGCTGCTGCCTCTAACAAGGCAACTTTAATGATAAGCTCTCTCAGATTTAAGCAGTGGCCTAACCTTTATTCACTTAAAAGCTAATACTAAAGTAGTAATTAGTTCATGCTTAACGATGGCTTTCAATTAAGCACGAACAACTTGTTGAATCCTCGTACGTGGTTGGATTGCTTTGATAAACACCCATGGCCATGCAAACCCTTGGCCTTCGGATAGAGCCAAACGCATTTGTCTGCCATCTCGAGCTCTCTCAATTTCGTTGCAATAAGTTGCGGATGAGCCACATACCGAAGGGCAGTACTTAAAGTTATACATACCAGGAATGCTGGCCTTCTCTATTTTAAACCAATTCTCCTTTGTGTCGCAACCAGGGCTTCCTTCTTCCCCACCAAGTTCCAGCCACCTTTTTCCGGTTTGTTCGTCGAGATCTTGAACCTTCCACACGGTTGATGTTAGGCAGAGTCTGTCTCTTGGTCCAGTGAACTTCAAGTTTACGTCGGAGGACACACGGACAACGTCATCGTTAGGGTCCGCATTAGAAAATATCACGGGATTACCATAGTCCATATCGGATTGTCTCTGAACGACGATTTCCGGGCATGGTCTACCCTTCTCCCTGCCTATGGCAAGCCCTCCGCCTCCAGCGCCCCATATCCCTGACACTACATAGTATGGGACACCTGTGACGACCTCTTCACCGGCAGCATCCAGCACAGCATTGTTTGCAGCGTTGGCCAGGCCAAACAGGGCGAAAAGAAGAAAAACAGAAGCACTTGTGGTTTTCATGATTAGCAGATTGTGTTTGAGATGTGTTTGCCAATTTATAGAAGGTGTAAGCTCCATGAACTTCCATAATTCATTGAGGTAAGGTACAACACATTTGAAATATGAGGTAAATTATTAGGACCACCTCGTACATGTAGCATTTTTGTTGTCTAGTCATTCACTGTTCTCGTCTTCTTATTATTTATTTAAGCACGTGCATGAACGAGACATTCAAAATAATTGATTCCACAAGGTCCCATTTGGTAATAGATATCTCTACAAAGAAGAGATACAGAAGCACTTGTGGTTTTCATGATTAGCAGATTGTGTTTGAGATGTGTTGTTTGCATAATTTTGAAGAAAATTTTGAACTATTTTGTATGAATTTTTACATCTTCAAGCATTCTTGTTTCCTTATTCTTATAAACTTAACTAAAATCATTAAAATCCAGTTTGACGCAACTTTTAAAAAATACTTTAAAAATGAACTTTCAATTACTGTGCATTTTTTGAGATTGTTCCAAAAAAAAATAACATTTTTTTTAAATATTTACGTGTCAGACACCCTTTGAGATAATATTCTCGATCTAACACCCTTTAATTCATATATTTTTATTTAATTGTTTCGGTTTTTTTTGCAGATATAATATTGTCTCCCTTTCAAACTCTAAGAATGACGCGAATTTCAGCTATTGTTATTATAATGGAGAAATTCGGGAAGATGAAACCGGTGTTGTTTTCGTATCAAATCATTATGTTAAAATATCCTTCCAGAGAAACATAACTCTTGAGGATGTGATAATAAAGATTTCAAGTAAGGTTCATGTTGGAATTACTAGAAGAATGTCGTCGCTTCAGTATAGATTTCCAACATCATTGTTTTCGTTAACTTATACAGATTTCCATCCAAACGAAGCAGACCGCCTTTCATTTTATAACTGCAAAAAAATAAAATAATTAAATAAAATACTAACAAAATATTAAATATAATAAATATACCTTATAAATAAAATTTGAACGAGGTTTGGTTTTTGAGATGATTTGAGAGGATTTGGTGTGGTGAAAATAATTGAGAGTGGTGTATTTATAGGGTGGGATGGAGGGTGTGAACGATCAGTTAGGTCGGTGGGATGGAAGGTGCATAGGTCGCGCCTTCGGTATTTATTCTGCCCCAACGTGGCCTGCGTCTTACCCACGTGGCGCCACATCAGCGTCATGCACCGCGCCTTTCTGTAAAGAGTGTTAGTTCGAAAATGTTATCTCAAAAGATGTCTGACACGTAAATATTTAAGGAAAAATGAAATTTTTCGGGAAAATCACCAAACAATGCACAATAATCAGAGGAAGGATTTAACTAAAGATGTCGAGTAATTTCATGGAGTAAAATTTTAGTCTGAAGACGTCGAGATATCTTGGAGTCTTTATACTTGTACTATAGAAAATACGTTAGATGGAAAAAATGTTGAAACCACATTATTGGGGGGGGGGGAGGGGAATTTCCCATACTGCCTTATTCTGACATTTTTGCCGATTTTCCTAGTACGGTATTCACGTGTTTGCATAATTTTGAAGAAAATATTTTGTACTTTGTAAGAATTTTTACATCTTCAAGCATTCTTGTTTCCTTAGTCTTATAAACTTAACTAAAATCATTAAAGTCCAGTTTGACGCAGCTTTTAAAAATTACTCTAAAATCAATTTTTAAAAGTATTGTATAAAATTAAATTGTTTGAGATTATTTTTAAAACGTGAGTTTAAAAAGATAAAATACACATTATAAATATTATGTTATAAATTAAAATATAACATTTAAATTATATTTACACTTATTAATACTATGATATATAAAATATCTCAACTTTAACTATAATAAAAATATAAAAAATATTTTAAGGTTACTCACTAATAATATTTTTATACATGAAATATTTTATTAAGAAAAAAATATATCATCAATACTTTTTAATACGTGGACAAAAAATTATTATGACAAAAAGAATATTACAAACAAAACTAGTAATTAAAATAAATTATTAAATAATAAATTATTTTTAAGGATGTTAGTAAATTATTAAAATAAAATGTAAATAAATAATTGAGTAGAGCATATGCATTACTACGGGTAAAATTATAATTTGTTTCCAAAAGCAAAGTTGAAACTGAAAATCCTAGAAATCCCAGCTTTAGCGGTTGGTTTGAAACTACTGTTTCCACCGTAAAAAATTTTTCTTTTTTTTTTACCTGTTTGACATTGATTTTATGGTTAAAACAATTTTTTTTTACCTAAAAGTGTTTTTAGAAAGTCACGCCAAACATAGCCTAAGAAATAATCCCTTGTCATTAACTTTTTTTTAATGAGAACGTTAATATAAATTGGTATAATAAAATATTTAACTCTTAAATTTTAGACTTATCTTAATTTAATCCCATTTCTAAAAATTAACTCATATAATTTTAATATTCTACTAATTAAATCTTAAATATAAAACTCAATCTTCTTCTATCCTGAAAAAGATAAAATGTAAAAAAATCAGCAAAATCCATAAATACTTGAATGAGACGTTCAAAATAATTGATTCCATAATGTTCCATTTGGAAGTAGATTTTCCTTTGAAGATTATCCACAGTCCGTGTTTGCATAATTTTAGGGTAAATTATATAGATAATTCTTAAACTTTTAGGAAGTTTGTAGTTTGGTTACTCAATTTTTGAAACCTGCAATATAGTCATCAATTTTTTTTTGAATTAATCACTAGTATCCGATCTATTGACCGACTAATTCAGATCAGGTAATGCAGATATAAAGACGACAGTCTCAACCCAATTTACTCCATTCATAAACGTCAATTTACCTTATTGACATGATAATTAATTTCCGTTAACCCCTTCTCCTCCTCCTAATAATAAACTAAAATGCCATCACCACCTAAAGAATTGAAATAGGAAACAATCTTTTGCACCCATGGAATCTTTGAATCCACTTCGAGGGCTTTGAAAACAAACCCCTTCCCATCCTAGAACCCAAGTGACCTCAAATCGTCATCCTCCGAAGGAAGCGGGTGACGGAGGAACCGCCGATGTCGCTGCCGACCATGCAAACTATAGGCGGAGGTGACGCATCGGTTGATAGGGAGAAGACGAGAGGTTGTATAGAAAGTAGGAAGATGAGGAAACTTAAACTGGGTTTGGGATTGAAGAATGAGAGGATGAGATAAAAAAATGATGATTTGGAAATTTTAATTTATAAAAAAAATATAATGTTCATTCGTTTAATTGGTTAGAGACCATTGATGAGGTGATAAAAATGGTCTCAATAATAATTAGGATGAAAATTGTCCTTGACCATAGAAATTACAAAGTAATAATTAATAAAATTAACAAATTGATTTAATTTTCTAATGGAACTTATTTTACGGTCAATATAAATTGGTCTCAATAATAAAATAAAAGGTTGTATTTGATAGAGATCATGAGTTCGAATAAATGGGTTAATAAGATATGTGTTGTTCATTGATTAAGAAAATTCTAAATGAATACTACCTTATAATCATACCAAACTATTAAAAATGATACAATAAACTATCTATCGTCCCTTAAATTTTACAATTATTTTAATTTTATTTCAGGTCTAAGATTTAATCCGCGTATTTTAATATTCTATCAATTTGATAATAAATCTCAAACTTACTATCTAAAAATGATAAAATGTGAAGAAAATTTTTAATATCCAACTCATACATGTCTTGATAAAAATTTTAATATCACATTACCCCACCCAACAACGTTTTTGTTGTCTTGTTACTTATCGTTCTCTTGTTATCTGTTTAAGCACATGCATTGATGAGACACTCAAAATAATTGATTTCATCGGCTCCCATTTGGTAGTAGTTATCTTATCAAGATTTTCCTCATACAGTATTCGTGTGTTTGCATATTTTTTTAAGAAATTAACATTTGGGAATAATAAATTCAAATCAATCACAAAAGTTAAAATTTATAATTTATATTTTTTTATTTTTAATTTCACGTTTTGAAATAAATTATAATTTTACTCTTATTAATGTATGTGTTTCACGTATTATTATAAAATATTAATTACATTATTTTTATGATCTATTTTTAATAATAATTAGATCAAATATTAACTCCTAAATTAAAAAATCTTAATTTTTTTTGCTTTGATAGGCTATGACAGTGGTTTGGTTGTTGGATTATGTATTGGATTGTAACTGTCTACACGCGACTCAAAATTATAATCGAATCTTGATAGTTTTTTTTTGTTCGGCGAATATGATTAAAAGGAAATCATACAGGCCTAAACTTGATTGAGAGCCTCGTTAAAAATCTCTCTAGATCTATGTAGAGAAAAAGAGTACTACTCAACCAGGGAAGAAACACCAGTACAAATAAGCGAAAGTCCCAACCTATAGACTATTACTGCACTAGTCTGCTTCCAAAGACAATCTACCCAAAAACTAAACAATGACAGTTAAATACGAAAACACAACTCTCACAATGCAGATAACACAACTTTCGAGTCACCACCACGCTTTGAAAATAGCTTCTCGGATAACGTCATATCATTTCTCGGATGAGAGACATGTTTAAATCAAATCTTTTCGACCCTAGAAACCACTTTATCAATCACCACACCAGATCCAAGGGTGACATTGAACATTGTTCAACCAATAAAGAACTATTCTTGACTCTACCTCTACAGTTAATTCGAAAGTTTAAGCCCACATTGAACATCAGCTGCGAGAGCTTTTTCACAGAAAATAAACATGTTCTATCATGAACCCAGACCAGTTTATCTGCCAAGCTTGCCACCAATTTCACCCCCTCAATTGTGCTAATTAAATCCTCGACCATTGTCCGTTCCCTCTCTAATAGATTCCTTGTGAACATCAACTCCCACCTCGCAATACTTCAATTGTCTTTTTCAAAAACAGTAGCTATATTTGCTCATTTACAAGAGGATAATCTATACAACCGCATATAGACTATCCTTGAAAGGTTTTTCTCCGCACCACCAGTCCTCCCAAAATAGAG